TGCAGACCCTTTCCCCACAACATATGTACATAAGTATTATTAGTTCCATTCCAACATGCACCCTGTAATCTTTCTTCCCTATGGAATATGATCTTGTAAATACTTTCTTTCAGGGTTAAAACAAGTAGTGAATAAACTTCCAGGACAGCTTTACACATGAAAAACATAAACACTATATGTCTCCAAATTATATTGTAATAGGTATTGAAGTACAAGCTTGGCAAAGTACAGCCTGTATATTATTAGGGGAAAAATATTAGGATGTCAGGTGTGTGTGTGTGTGTGTGTGTGTGTGTGTACACACACACACACACACACCCCTTGTGACTTGTCAGTTTGCCTAGTAAGCAGAGCAGTGTTGATCTCTTGAGTCCTTTGCTATTATATTTGAGCTATTAGGATTTCAGCAAATGGCCAAACAGCAGAAGCTGGACTATGTTGATAGCAGAGCTGCAGATTTACTTTCCTTTTTAAAAAGAGATCTGGTTGACTAGCCTTTTAGAAATACGTTTTTCTTGGCAATTTAGTTACCAATGGATCGATACATAGCCCAAGTGAAAACATTTTTAAGACCAAAGGACTTACAGATCATTCATTGGAATAGAAGCTTGGTAAAAAATTTTTTTTTAAAAAAATAGCGCCAGTTTGGTAGTGGTTAAGGCATCAGGCTAGAAACCAGGAGACCGTGGGTTCTAGTCCTGCCTTAGGCACACACCCAATCACTCTCTCAGCTCTAGGAAGGAGGCAATGGCAAACCACTTCCGAAAAACCGTGCCAAGAAAACTGCAGGGAGGAGTCAAAAACTGACTTGAAGGCACAGGCACACGCACACACAAATAAGTGCAGGCAGCTGTCTGGACTCTCATAGATTTGTTTCATTTTTTTCATGTTAATTCAGATTAAAACTACTTTTATTCTCTTGAGGAAAGAATGTTGATTGTTTGTAGTGGATGAAGCAGTTCTGGAATCCATCTACACAAAAATGTGACATAGGTTGTAAAGGAAGAGTATCAAATTAAAGCAATAGAATCTAATGACTGAAAATATGTCCATGCTTGTTTTATCGTAGAAAAGTTGGAGCATGCAAAGTATTTGTTAGCTCTCAGGTTTTGTGAATGCTATTCCTTTTTATATCAATTTGGTCTTAAATATCAGTTTCTGTCAACAACTTCAAGGCATTGTGGTGAAATGTTATAACTTGTTCCAACACAGGATATAAATACAGTATAATTTCCCAGCCAACTATAGCAGGAATGAGTGATCATTTCAAAAATACTTTAGTTTATGGATTTTGATCTATATGCCATAGATGTCTAATTCTACTAACAGACACTAAAAAGATGGCAAATGTTCTCATTCTGAACAAGCGATACACTAACTTTTCAATAGTTGTTAAATAGACGAGCCTCTTCCTCAGTAAATATTTTGAATTGTATTCATTATCACTATATTGGGGAAAATATCCAAAGACTACTTCTATAAACCAAAATTAGATTAAATATTAGATTTTTTAAAATTTACTGTTGGATTCAATAAAATATTACAACTGTTAATATAGGTGTAAACACAAATGCAGATAATTTTTTTCCATTATAGGATAAAATATACTGTGTGTGTAAGCTAGGTTTTAAAATGCATTGTAAAATATCTAACCATAAGTACACTACTCTCACTTGCAAATAAATAAGCTTTATAAAACCTTAGAATAAAATGGCATAAAAGAAATAATAGCAATATAATATTGTTATAAATTAATTTGGAAAGTTTGCATTACAAAATGCTTTATAGCTGATGAAAAACCCCAAACTTCCTGAAATCCTTAAAATAAATATGTTTTGCCATTTTCTAATTTCTGTTGTATTCCTTTTTTGAGTCCAAGATAACTAATTTAGCCTGTTGTCCTCCCCCCTTTTTATTTCTACTTATTTTTACTTAGCTTATTTATTAAAGACATATCCTTTCCTGATGTAAACTACTGTCAGGTTCTTTTGCAGTATTTAAGCATTACAATTTATAATATTTAACAATATAAAACTATATAAAAAAACCCAGACTGATAGAATCGGCATTTAAAATCAAAAGAGAAACTAGTACTGTAACTAATAAATACCAAATAGCAGAATGGGTGAAACAAAATTGTCTTCAGTAATTATCCAACAACCTTCCCCCACCGCCTCCCCTTGCATGTGTGGGCCAACCATACTTAGGGAAAATAGAAGGCAGGAATTTTACATAATCTACCATGAGTCGGACAAAATAAAGGTGGGATATAAATGAATAATAATGTCATTTATATGTGGGGAACAACAGTTGAGAAATTCACCTCTCTTGTCCTACTCAAAAGGCTTCTATTTCAGATGGGATATAGAGAAGAATCTGTTTTGAACTTGCAAAGCATGCAGAATGGCATGAAAGAAAAACTTGCCTAACATACCCTCTGGAATTAATTTAATGCTCTAAAAGTTAACACAAATAAAAGCAAATATATGAACACTGTAGCTATTGCAGGAATGGAGATAGCAGTTACACTATGAATTAGTTCTCAGTTGAAGAGGTTGTCTCTGGGATAGGCTTGAAGTATCCCAGGACAATTGTCCTTGGAGATTTCAATGTCAGCGCTGAGCCTGTCCAGTCAAAGCCATCTCAAGATTTCATGATCACTGGCACAATCATGGGGCTGTCCAGAACATTGTAGGTGCAACAAATATTGTCAGTTTTCACATTCTAGGCTTTTGCCATCATGCCTGGTCACCTATAGCAGGGAAGGTCTAAGTGGTAGGCTCAAGGGCCTTTTAATGTGAGAGAGTTATCTCCACTGCCTTGAAAAAGGGAAGTTTTGAACAATTATCCAGTTGCAAATAACCCTTTCTTGGGCAAAGTCCTGGAGAGGGTGATGGTCATTTAGTATGAATATGCTTGAATTGTCTAGACTAATTTCAGTCTGTCTTGAGACCTGAATACAGCAAGGAAACTACTCTTGATTGTCCTGAGTAGTGACCTCTTTTGGGAGAGAGACATGAGCAGTTCTATCTTGTTGATTCATCTAGAACTCTTAGCAGCATTTGATACTGTTGATCATGGGATATTGTGGAACAGGTCAGTGTATTGGGCATTGAAGGAACAGTGTTAAGGTGCATCCATTTCTACCTGCAGGACCATTACCAGAGAGTAGAACTGAGAGGGTTTTTTTGACCCCATGGTACTTGAATTATGGAATTATGCAAGTTTCCATTACTTCTTTCCTGCTATTTGGTATCTCCATGAAGTTCCTTGACGATGATCAAAAAGGACTTTGTAGGCTACCTTTGCATTTTAAGTCCAGACTTCCTTGAAATCATGCCATTGAGCATTTAAGTTTATATCCAAGATTGGAATTTTGTTTTTTATCTGTTGATCCATGGTAAATTGTGATAGCTAAGCTTACTGTATGAATATGACTTGTTTTATAATGTACTAAAGATAAGAATGGATCATTATGGGTTAAAATTCACTTTGCAATTTGAATTATTCTTTTTTGCTTCTCTGTTGGCTTGTGGATAGTAGGAACATGTTATAATCTGAGTAAAGTTGTTATTCTCTGCAAATAGTACCAACTTTTCCTTAGAAATATGGGACATTGTCTTATATGAGTTCATCAGGATATCTCCATCTGATCATTATGTATTTTAAGCAGTGAATGACAGAAGATCGTATAAGATTGACCATTGTTGCACTCTTGAGATATCCAGAAAAATAGTCTGGTAACTAAGAACATAATGTCATTTATGTTCAAAGCATCAGCTCCAGCTTCCATTCTGTCTGGAATTCCTGTAATTTTTTTTTCATCAATAATATTTATTTTTCTGACAAAATTCATAGCCTACAAAACATGAATTAGCCACCAAACAAATAGTTTTGCACATTCTTTCTGTAAAGAATAAGTTGAGTATGGTAGGCATGCTGTATGTATGTAATAGTAAACTATTTTTGTATAATATTCAATATTGTTGATAGCTCTGAGTAAAAAGCAATATTGGGATGTGATATATCTAGATCTAGACATAGATACACACATACACACACAGGAATAGGTTTGTGGCATGTATTACTTCTTTGTAAATATGTTCTTCTAAAATTTGAACTGAGGATTCTAGTGGGTATCTGGACAAAGTATTTGCTACTGCATGTATTTTGTCTCAGTAATGTTCAGTATGAGGGCTATATAATCATCTGGAGAAAAAGTTTCTGGCATCTCACCAGCATCTTATCCAGTTTATCGGGGACCCAATGGCTTAAGTTTTGTGTATAGCTAAAAGGATTCCAGTCCATAAAAGTACTATGAGAACTGTTACATACCAACCCCGCTTTAATACAGTCTTTCTTTATTTGGATATACTGTAGCATGTTTCTGGATCTATGAATATTCTGGAACAATAGGCTACTGGTTTCAGCTCTCCTTGTTGATTTTAAAGCAACATTGTGCTTATTTCATAGCTGCTAGCATTGGACTCCAAACAGAATAACATAAATTTAATTAGAAGTTGGTAGCATCTTTCTCCTTTTTCCGATCTGCACTTGTTTATTTTGTTTTTGCTCAAGTTTTAAAAGTCTGAATATTTTTTTAATGGAACCAGATATGGAAACAACAATGTATCTAATTGCTATATGCTCTATGGACAGAATTAAGCAATTTTAATTATGTGAGAATGATTAAGTTTTAACATTTGAGTGAAATTAATATAATACTGTGATTTTTAATGCTAGTATAAAAGCAATGTTTGGCCTACAACTTTTGTATATTGGTTACTGACCTTTTATACAGCTCAGTGTGATACTTTAAAAAAAATGCTAAATGCAATTGTTTGTAAATCTTATTTTATGCACATAAAATGTGTGCTGGTTTATGTAAGTAATACATTTCCTGTAATTAAACTACTGAAAGTTGAATTTATTAAATAAAACTAACAATGTAGCAGTTTCAATTCATATATTTACAATGAAGCAACCTTTTTGTTTTGCAGTGTAATGTTCAGGTTCAGAAATGCCTTATGTGGATCGTCAAAATCGTATTTGTGGTTTTTTAGATATTGAAGAAAATGAAAACAGTGGTAAATTTCTGCGGAGATATTTTATATTGGATACAAAAGAAGATAATTTGGTATGGTATATGGATAATCCACAGGTAAACCACTTCAACTATCTTTTAATTTTATTGTTATTGCTATTATATTTATTAATGCAATCTAAAAATTTTGAGGCAAGTTCTGCAAATATTAATTTTTAATAATTTCATTTCATATTTTGAATGTGCTAAATATTACTTTAGAATTGTGCAGTATAGTGAAAATTTATCTTCATAGTTCTGCTGATAATCATTTCAAACCTGGGTGTGTTTATGCTGTGGGTGGGTATCTGAAATTTCTATCAGCCTAGACAGCAAGGGATAATAGAAGTTACAACCTGGAAGATCACTCATCGCTTAATCTACTTTTACGTTATGGAAATGAATACCTCAGCAAGTGTAGAAATAGGATAATGTATATTATTCATATATTATTTGATTATAAGCTAAAAATTGACAGTTGAGGGTTATTTAGTGAAATGCAACATTAACAATAGACTCCAGTTTCGGTTGCCATACAAGAGAGAGAATTTAATTGCAGAATTTTGCAACATATGATAGTATGCAGTAGTGCAGTTGCATTTAACTAATGAAACAAAGCTTGTTAGAACCATATTTTACAGTTGAATATATTTTGAAGTATTGGGTTTGAAATGATAAAGGCTGATATGTGTGTATACATGTATGCACGTGTGTGTGTGCGTATATATATATGTATATTTTACACTACAATGTTGTATTCTTAACTACAGAACCTTCCCTCTGGATCTCCACCAGTTGGATCCATTAAGCTTACCTACATTTCAAAGGTGTGTGTATGCTTCTCAGATTATTGAAATTCTAAACTCATAATGCTTAACAATAGCTATTCAGCTATTAAGCCAGGATATGTACAAACTGCTGCTATCTAATATTTGAAGTTTGTGATGTTACTGGATGCATTTTTTTTTTTTTTAGTAGTGTTGCTAAAAAATAAGTACAGTGGAACCTCAGGTTACGAACGCTTTTGTTAATGAACTTTTTAGGTTATGACCAGCTCCGGCCGCAAAATTTTGCCTCGGTTTGTGAACTCCGCCTCGGGGTACGAACAGGATACACGACCATTTTCCCGCCCCGACACGTGGCCCGTGGCCATTTCCCGCCCCTGACACGTGGTCCGCGGCCATTTTTCTGCCCCTGACATGTGGTTGGCGGCCATTTTCCGCCCCTGACACGTGGTCCGCGGCCATTTTTCCGCCCCTGCCATGTGGTCGGCGGCCATTTTCCGCCCCTGACACGTGGTCCGCGGCC